CACTATATACATTGATAGAAACCTCTCAAGAAAGTTTCTCGGCTCCAGTTGTCATCTGACAATCAAACAAAAATGCAAATATTATTTTGGAAGGATGGAGGCGGCTGGGCATAACTGGTTTTGAGACATTGAAAGGACGATATTGCTCTCGTAGGTGATATATACTCGGTTTTATGATATTAAAGAAGCATTAGAAGAGGATCTCAGGTGATAGAGAACCAGCGTGAACGGGGGCGGAACTTATGGCCAGCTTCGCGGAATGGATGAAGTATCAGAGACTATAATGGCCTAATCGAAAATATTGTTATGTGATTTTCACTATGGTCGGTGTAGCACATGTGATTATTTAAGTGGACTGGCTGCCCGATATACAACTTGTCCTCTCCCAAAACTCGGAAATTGTCAGATTCCCCGCAACTACGAATTTGATCTTCCTCCTCTTCCCTTAAGACTTCCCTGTTCAGGAAATATGTTATTGGGCAGCCACAAGGGATGCGCCTGTTCGAGTCTCGGGACTTGTCATCACGCTAGTGAATAGGCATACGTCGCACGTAGTCGGGGATCAGCCTAGATCATCACTAAATACTTCATTAGCATGATGGAATAAAAAAAGAACCAATAGGAGGATCCACCGCCTGAACCACCCTGATCTCATCTGGCTTCAACTCTCTTTTCGGTTGCAGAGGAGGAGGGATAACTGCTCTACCGACGAAATGCAAAGATCCATTCACTATCACTGCAACTCTATAGCTTATTATCATGTGGTGTCGATATGAAAGTATCTCGAGCCCTTGAACCTTCGCTCTCCGTCCTCAAGCTTACGGCAGCAATTCAAACGGTGCAGACCTCTGGCGAACGACAGATCTTACTCATTATCGATTTATTATGCGCTCGAGGATGATATAAGCAGGATATAGGGATGAAACCTCGGCTGTTTTCGTTTTGGTTTTTCCCCATCCAACACTAGTACGCTCCACGCCTCTGGATCACATTTCAGCCTTCACTTTGAATAAGAATCGATCCAGGAGCAGCTATCAACTGCGACAAGGAGTAACATTCATCATGTCGCATACCTCGGGAATGGGTGTAATTATCGAGTCGATGGAAAACATTCACTTTTCACGATACATTTGCGGAGCCGCGATGACGACGATGGTCTATGATTATTTTTTAACTGTTGGCGATGTTAGTGGCCTTTTTTTTTTCCCTTCGCTTTGCGCCACTTGCCAATCGCACCCAACCTCCTTTGCAGGAGATCAAGTACGTCTGGTCTGGAGGCCAGAAAGTGAGCCCAGCTAAGCTCATGTTCGTGTGGGTGAGCATATATCCTCAGCACCCTTGACGTTATTCCTCATACAATGTACAGAATCGGTACCTAGTGTTTCCTTGGGTTGCCATATCCAACTACCGTAAGGCATCTATTCCCTTATTAAAAGATAATATATAACCCAAGTCTATATCTAGATCTCTCTGGACTCAGAGGGCGTCTGAATAATCGAGTGAGTGCTCACCCAATTATCATCTGATCAAGCTTACCAGATTCATTTAGTTGTTCGTGTGTTTAGGCTGCCCGTTTTCAGCGGGGCTAATTTTCGCCCGTAGTTGTCAAATAGCGTTTCCAGCGATTGCCGTCGCGCAGGGACTTACTTTGGTCATCGGAATCCAACTGGTGAGTGAACTCTACTCATAAATATATCTTTACTCATCTTCTCTTAACATCTAATTTACTCATAGCTTGCTCTTCGCGTTCTAGCGCTGTACAAGAATGACCGTACAGTTCGGATATGCCTCTTCACCTGGCTATTAATGTGTCATACTGCTCTGTGGATAACAATCGCCATTTCTATGCATAGATTTCTCCGTAAGTACCATTGGATGATCCGTCGAACATCCACTCATTATATTACAGCGGTCCTCGTGTATGGTGGGGGACGCCACTATATGACCAATGTTTTCGACCTCGACCAAACAATGTAATGGCCCCCGCCACCATCGCTCATAAATGATAGTAAAATGTTTTATATGATATTTGAACTAAAATAAAAATTCCTATGGAGAGCTTTTAACTTCAACTCAAAAAAAGTCTGGATGGCTGGACCCATTTTGCGTATTCAGGGGCTCTAGCGGAGTTTGAATTCAATAACTCCTTAACCACCCATTCAATAATCCCCGAAAAAATGCCAAAACGCTCTATAGGACGAAAGAAAAACAACTATGGATGATTTCAGAAGAAAATGGACTCTCAAGTCTGTGACCTCAAAGCGCCTCTTCATCGAGGCATTGGATGGCTGTCCGCCCAATGTAATCCGCCGGGTCATACGACGTGCAGAGAGACACGCCAGTATCTATCGTCAAGGTGCTACTGGGCCGGTCGCTGAATATGCCGCAAAGAAATACCGTTCACACCGTGCAGTGACCCAACAAGACCTAGCTCTAGCCGCAGAGGAGAAAGCACAAAAGGATGCCGAGCTTCTCAAAACGTCTCTAAAGTGACTTTCGGTTGTCTTCATCCCCTCAGGATCGCCTTCGGTCCCCACCTTTGTAGTCCCAATTTGCGAAAAATTTTGCGTTTTTTTCCCACGGTCCAAAAAATAAAATAAAAACCATTTTTGCTCTTAAAAAACATCTATATAAGCTTTAAAATTGTTTTTGAGGCCAGTGGTTGGTGGCCACAAGTTGGTCGAGACCTGGCGTCCCCCACCATATCTTCCCGTGATAGATTCCTGTTACACCATTGCTGATCGTATAGTCGGTGGCGTCTATATCCCACCGGTACCGCATCATCTCTTCATTCATTGATGGACGCTAAATTTCCCCGTTTCATAGCTACTTGCGGAGGCTAGCATGCTCGTATTGCAGATCGTGGATCATGTCAGGAGAAGGAAACGAACGACCTTGCTTAAAACACCCTTGCTCTCCACGCTATTTCGAGATGGATACATTTATTTTAGTGCTATTTTAAGCCTTCG